AGATATGCAGTTGATACCACTCTGATGGCAGAAAGTGAGGAGGAATTAAAGAACCTCTTAATGAGGGTGAAAGAGGAGAGCACAAAAATGGTCTGAAGCTCAGCATCAAAACAACTAAGATCATGGCCACTGGTCCCATCACCTCCTGGCAAATAGAAGGGGAAGATATGGAGGCAGTGACAGATTTTGCTTTCTTGGGCTCCATGATCACTGCAGAGGGTGACAGCAGCCATGAAATTCAAAGATGCCTGCTTGTTAGGAGGAAAGCAATGATAAACCTAGCCAGCACCTTAAAAAGCCCCCCTTCCCCCGCCTTAATTCAAGCTTTCTCTTTTGCTTGCCTCTTCTTTTTCATAGTTTTGAGTCAGTCTCTCTCACTCCCTCTCCCTCTCTCTCACACACACATACACATCCATCCACCCACCCACCCACCTTCCCTCCCTCCCTTTTCTCCATACATTTTTACATACATTACAAGCTTGATGAAGCCCTGTCTCTCACACCTTCCTTCCCTCCTTCCCTTGTTAACTTGATCCTTTCCCGCCTCTTGCTTGCTTGCAGTCATTTCCGGAGGAATCAGTCATTCAGAAGCCCTGGATTGATTGATTGCCTTGGGCTAATCCACAGCTGTAACCAATCAAGAAGGTTTATCTCCAATCTCTGAAAGAACGGAGGATTTAGAAGTGCCCTGCTGCAACCAAGGAAGTAACAGGGAGAAGTGGCTTACAATTTGAGGTTTGACTGTAGGGGGAGGGGTGTGTGGGTGGGAGGGAAGGGGTTAGTACTCTGCTCATTACCCCCAGGATTTTAACTTTTACCCAATTAGGGGTAATTCACCCCTGTTCTCCGACCACTGCCCTAACAAGAAGAGGAGTCCAAAAGGATGGGAGCTTCTAGAAATGGAAAGTCTAAAGGCACAACTACAAAACTCCAACAAGAAAAAAAAAGATGGGAGATAGCAAAAAAAAAAAGGGCCAGTGTGGCTCAGCGAGAACCTGGAAACTAAAAAGGACACATATAGGAAGTGGAAATGAGGCCAGGCCACAAAGGAAGAGTATGGACAAGTAGCAAGGAATTGCAGGGATGGCATTAGGAGGGCAAATCTGAGAATCATTTGAGGTTAGCTAGACACACTACAAGCAACAAAAACAAAAGCATTCTTCATGTGTGTGCTTGGCAAAAGACAAAGAAAAGAAATAGTGGCTCAGTTACTGAATGGAGATGGAAAAATGATAACAGGATACAAAGAAAAGACAGAACCGCTCAATTCCTATGTTAGCTCAGTCTTTTCCCAAAGGACAGACTATAACCCTCCAATCAAATGTGAAGGGCAAGTGAAGGGGACAGGACTGCAACTGGAGATTGATAAACAAATAGCCAAGAAATACCTTACTACTTTGAATGAGTTCAGATCCCCATAGCTGAACAAACTGCATCCAAGAGTATTGAAGAAACTGACTGAAGAGCTCTGAGAACCATTGTCCATTATTTTCTTGAAATCATGGGGAACAGGTGAGCTGCCAGACAATTGGAAGAGGGCCAATGTTGTCCATATCTACAAAAAATGGCAAAGAGGAAGAACCTGGGAACTACAGACTAATCAGCCTCATAGGAATACAGTGGTGTCTCAATACAGTGCCTCAATACAGTGGATTAAATGAGCCTTGCAGGTAAAACTACATATAAATGGTATGTTTTATCCCTTGTAGATTTTACAGTGAAATTGGGGCCTGGATGACTGCAAGGAGAGTCTCCTGGTGGTTTGGGGGAGATGCTACATAAAAATCATGTGATCCATGTGTCAGACCCATGTTTTTGCACCACTACAAAACTATGCAATGAAGTACCCACGAGTACTGTGTTTTAGTGTGTGGGCAGAGATGAGCCTTATGATTGGACAGTGGTTTGGGTGTTATACTACGTATGTAAAGGGATCCATGCCTTTCAATTGGTATTTTTTGCTCCACTCCAAAGCTATACTCTGGTGGACCCATGATTCCTGTGTGTAGTTGGTGGACACTGATGATCCATATGACTGGACAGTGGCTTGAGGATGATCCTACAAAAAATTATGTGGATCCAGGAGGATCTCTGGTTCATGTTTTTGCTCCACTGCAAAACCATGTGCTGATTTCTGTGGCTTAGTCTGTGGCTGCAAATAGCATCCTTGATCTGACAGTGGTTTAATGAGGATTACATCTAAAAATCATGGAGTCATGTGAATCTATGCCTCAAAAATCCATGTTTTTGCACCACTACAGTCATGCACTAAAGGATCCATGATTTCTGTGCTGCAGTTTGTGGACATAGATGGGATATATGATTTGATGGTGATTTGGCTAGATTCACACACAAAAAATCATATGTAATAATCAGGATCTCTTCTTGATTTCATGGATCTGCCTTTCACCCAGACCCCAAAAGAACTGTATTTTCACAGCTTAAAAGAATGCATTTCTGAATGTTATTCTATTTTTTAAAGTTTCTTTTATAATACTCATGAGTAAACCAGGTGAACTTACTCAGGAGTAAACTGGGTAAACCTTGCTTTGAGATCATTCCTAGCCAGAAAGGAAAAATCCAGTACTGTAATTTCACAGTTTAAATGAGTGAGCTGATGAATATTATTATCTGTTTTTTTCCAAATATCTTTTAAATACATTCACAAGCAGGAATTAAAAATGTGTGACCAGAAAGGAACTAAAGGATTTCTTTTACATTGAATGCTATGGCAGAATTAAAAGTGACAGACCTCTGACCCTTGCCCAAATATTGCACACTGCAAATACATTCTGATTGGTCAGAGTGCTATGCTATGCAAACAGCTCAGTTTAGAACATTCAAAGTTATAAGGAAGAGAGCAACTTTCAGGGCATTTTGAGTTTTCAAAAGCACTAATTAAGCAGCTTAATTTAGAGCCATGAATGGCTCAATCATTCTAAAGGGGTAAAAAAGCTGGAGAAAAAGTTGTGTTCTTTTCAAGTATGCAAATTTTGTTGTATCAATGTTTTTCATCTTTTTTTAAATGAATGTAGTTATGGTTGCTTGTGTCTTTGCGGGTGTGTGTGTGAAAACAGTGTTACTTTTTAAAAAATCACAATCTTTGCGGGGTGTGAAAACAGTGTTACTTTTTAAAAAATCACAACTCAAAAAAGTCTTTGCCCAAACATCCCCAAATTTGGTACAGAGCAAGAGCAGGCTTTCTGTGTTAATTTGGTGCTGATCTGAGGTCCAGTTTCATAGTTATAATTTTTTGTTTGAGGCATTCCTATTTTTGATTTGACTTCTGGAATTTGTTCTTCAGCGCATAATATATGGCTACATGTCTGTGAAGCCATAATATCTAGTGTTAAAGCTTATCACTCCACACAATTAACTGTAATCTGAATGAAAAGCATTTTATGATTTGGGGGAATCATCCTTAAAGCAGATGAGAGAATGTTACAGCAAAAATTTGATTCTTGTGTTAACTTAACCCAAATTCATTCATTCATTTATAGTAGACATAAATGTATGCACAATCCTAAATTAAATTCCCAGCAATGGCACAACTCTGTGGTTGCTCACTCTCAGGACACTGGCTGAAATCTTAAGGAATTGCTGTGCTTCATCACCAGTCTTTGGGCAGAGAGACAACTTACAGGACAAGTAACACTGGAGGAAGAGAAAAGTTGATTCTTGTTCCCTGTTTCCCCTAAAATAAGACCTAACCTGAAAATAAGCCCTAGTATGATTTTTCGGGATGCTCGTAATATAAGCCCTACCCCAAAAAGAAGCCCCGGTTAAGTGAAAACCCGCCCTCCACCATTGTGCAGCGACCAGAATAAGATGACATGACTGTATTTGAATAAACATAGATAGTTGTACATGAAAAAAATTAAAACATCCCCTGAAAATAAGTCCTAATGTGTTTTTTGGATCAAAAATTAATATAAGACCCTGTCTTATTTCGGGGAAGCAGGGTAAGTAAGGTAGCTTTAAAACCTTGAGATTCCTCTCCACACACTTCCAAATGGCACCAGTGTTCAGTGACTCAGAAGATATGCTTGTACAGCATGAGTCTGCATGAAAGCCAGCTGTGAGGTGAGGGGATTAGGGTGTAAGCTCAGGCTCCTGGGTGCCATTTTTATCATACAAACCAAGGCAGGAAGTTGAGTTCCATGGCTGGTACTAGTTAGCTGTTTTTGTTGCACAAGAGTGCCATTGGCCATATTTAACCAATGTTACACCAACTGTGTCATCATAAGGACTCTCCCTTCCTGATCTCAGGCTTTGGCCCTGAAATACCAGTGACTGGTAAGTTTTCGTAGGATCGAACATAATTTTGAAATTCCGGTTTCTAGAATCCAGCCCATGCCATTTATAAAGAACGTTTAATTTTAAAATACATTAGAATATAACCCTAACATGGAACATGACAGATTTAATGCAAAACTACTTGACCTAAATCCAAATTCTCAACTAACTAGAGCAGACCATGTAAAACAATGGGATTTTTGGAAGTGTTGCGTTGTCAACCAGCAATGAACCTGTTCTAGTTGGGATTTACCTTTGATTTTAGGCTGAAGAGGTTTTGTTTTTTTAAAATCAGCTTTGTGGTAATCTTATTTTTTCCTAGAGGAAGACAAAACTCATTACAAAGCAGGAAGTGTTCCTGTTATATATACACAGTTCCACAGTGCAGTTCAGATTTCCTACTGTTGAGAATCACAGAAAAGAACACTTTCGGTAAGGTTACTTTAACAGCCTTTATGGTGGGGATAGGGGTGGAATCTGCTCCCAAACGCAGTATACATTCCAAGCATATGTCTGGTAATTACTTCCAAAATTATTCATTTACCACTCCTACCCCCAAACATAATAGTTTACATTTAGAAAATCATCTATGAATTTCACTGTTAAATGGGCAGATTTATCAGTTGTAGATAGGGGCATTTATCTCATTCTGCTTGCCTTTGGAAATCAGGCATGTGTCTATTGGAAGGAGAGGGTCTAATCATTGAATTTTCTTCCTTGTCCCAAATTTCTCTGTGTCATGCTTTTATAAACAGTGGGGACTTGGTAGGTCATCTCCTCCATAAGGTCCCTTGAGTAAAATTGGACCTACTATAGTTGTGACTGTACTAAAGTAAATCACAACTAGAGTAGACCCATTTGAATCAGTGGAACGTACAGAGGAGTTGTTTCATCAAACCCCCATTGATTCAATGGGCCTACGCTAGTGTGATTTACTATGCTAAGCAACAGGATTTTAGCCACTGACTAACCCAAATCTACTACTTGTTTATTGCTGTTATTATATTGTATTAGAATAAATAGTTCTGTTTGGAATTGAATTGACATAGTAACATATCTGAATCACTGGAATGACTATTAAAATCATTTTATTTTTTTAGTTGCTGTGAAATTTTTAGTAGCTGTAGTCCATAGGGAGTTTCTTTTCTTTTCTTTAAACATTTTATTAATTTTTCAATCTATCTACATTTAATCATGCTTGTTAAACATCGTGTTACACGGGTTGCTTACAATCATTTGTTATTTGTATCTTAGTGTCTTCTCAGTTGTCTCTTCAAAATCTATATAGTTTTAAACATTTAAACCGTTCATGTGTGTGTTTTAGTATACAAAATAGATGCCTTTTTCCTGATTAATGATCCCTTATTTCAGTTTATTTCCCTTTTTTAATATATAAGATATACCCCTTTACAATTCCAGAAGTTAAGTATATACATGCTTTCAACAATGAGGCCGCCTTAATATTTCCCCCCTTTTCATCTTTTCTAAGTGATTCTATCTCTTATTTGTATTTTCCCAATTCTTGTTTCTATCTCCCTAAATATTCTGCCATCCCTTATGTAATCTGAAATCATTTTGTACACTTGATCACCAACAGATCTTTATGCATTTGATCTATCTCCAATAGGTCTTCCAGGCTATTTTTAAATAATGCTGCTGATCCCCCCCCCCCTTATCTTTCCCCAACACAGCCAAGATTCTCCTCTGCTGTCCTGAGTTTCCCCCTCTGATTTCCTCCAGTCCTTCTTTTCTTTGGCATACATTGTCCTCCACCTTCACATTTCCTCGTTCAATGTTTTCTGTATCTTCTTGAATATAGTCCTTCTTAAGTTGTTCCGTGAATGATTGCATGTCTTGGTTCTGGGATCTCACTATTTCTAATATTGTTTGCAGAGTAGATTTTGCTTCATCCCAAAATTTCCCTTGTTGTGACATTATGGCCTCAGATGCCAGGTACTTGCATTTCAAGTGAAAAATGTCTAGTAGCTTAGAGCAGTCAGTCCAGGTCCATCAATAATTGCCTCAGTAAGTTGATCACCTTTAGGGTTAATTGAATCCAGTCTCTGACATATTTTGGCAGTCCCATTCACTCAATGTTTGTATTAGACTTTCCAGAGTTAATTGTCTATGTTTTGGTCAGTTCTCAGAAGAAGAAAAAGGAAAGACAAAACAGAGTTTCAAATCAGGTTTCCAGGTTTTTTCAAGGTCATGTTTCTAGGCTATTTTCCAACACTGTAAATAGACAGCGAAATAAAAAAAACCCTTTGAAACGCATTGAAAACCGGTTCCATGCATTCCAATGGGCTGAATACCTGCTCGTCCAATGAAGATCCTCCATACGGCGGCCATTTTCGGTGCCTGTATAGTGAGGAATCCATCATAGAAAACAGCGGGGGGGGGCCATTTTGAAAGCCGGTGACCATTTTGAAACCCGATGATCAGCTGTTTGCTGATCATCGTAAAGTGAAAAATCAGTTCCCGAAACAGGGAACCGATCAACGTGAAGCGAAAAAACACAATCTAAACATCGTTTTGCGGTCGCTTTTGCGATTGCAAAAACTTCAACATTACGTGGATTCGTCGTTAAATGGGGTAATCGTCCAGCGGGGCATGACTGTAATACAGAACTTCTTTCTTTGCAGTATAAATGTTTTATTAATGTCCACTTTATTTTCTTTGCTTCTTTTTGTGTCTGTGACCACTGCTTAATTTAGAGTTGAAACTGGGAGACCCTCTTTTTTCTGTTAAAGGGATTATTCCATCCAGGGATAATTATAGAGTACTATAATTAAGATTTTGTAGCTCACCCAGTGTTAACAATGATGTTTAATTTGGCTGGTTTGTCATTTCTTCTTTTGCCGGCTGCTGACAACTTGCAAACAGGTTTTGTGTCTGTGACCACTGCTTAATTTAGAGTTGAAACTGGGAGACCCTCTTTTTTCTGTTAAAGGGATTATTCCATCCAGGGATAATTATAGAGTACTATAATTAAGATTTTGTAGCTCACCCAGTGTTAACAATGATGTTTAATTTGGCTGGTTTGTCATTTCTTCTTTTGCCGGCTGCTGACAACTTGCAAACAGGCTTATTCAGCTGCTTGTCTCTGCCCGCTGGTTGATTGGGGAGTTTCTTGAATCAAACATGGGTAACTGCTGCCCCCCCCCCTGTGATCAACAAGCTTCTTCCCCATTTCACCACCTCTTTGGGGTGGTTTTAACCCCTTGGGGGGTTCCAAACAGGTTGGAGTTCAGCCCAGGAGACCGAACTCCTTCTTCCTGCTGCTGTCTCATTGCAGCATCAAGCCGGAAGTCCGGAGTTTCTTGTGCCCCGTAACCAGCTGTCCTCTCCAGCCCTCATTTCCCTCATCTTTCTCCTTCTCACCATTCCAGCATATGTGACCACAGAAGACAGGAAATAGTATTTTTTAAAATTTTATTACACTTAAATGGGCCTGTACAGCCTGACCATTTTTGTGTTGACTAGATCAGATTACAAAGGATTGGCTGAGGTTTGAGGGAGGAGTGATATTCCATTTGGTGTACTCCTCTCATCCAAATGGCAAACAACCCTTTATAACCCAGTCATCTGTCTATTAATTTCTTCCCTTGATTGTCTGTGGAGGGTCAGGGAAGTGAAATTATTTTTTAACATGTGCCAGATCATTGCTGAAGCAACAAATCACTTTGCTTAACTTTTTTTGTCAGTTCTGTGTACTGATGACTGAGATATTGTCTGCAGCTGTGGTTTTGATTGGCAATATGCTGAAAGGCAAAGAAAAAAATAATAATTTAAAAGCAATGATTCATTGCTTCAGTAATGATCTAGAAGACATTAAAAATAATTTCCCCTCCTCTGGCTCTTCACAGACAATCAGGGGAAGTGTTCAATTTCTGATATCCTGATTCGGCTTGAAAACCAGAATACTGGAAATTGACACTAAGATCTGCACAGTTCTAGTTTAGTCACTCTTCACAGACAATCAGGGGAAGTGTTAAATTTCTGATATCCTGATGCGGCTTGAAAACCACTTCAGAATACTGGAAATTGGCACTAAGATCTGCACAGTTCTAGTTTAGTCCATTCCGAATGACCACACTCACTGGGAATGAATTCAACTGGAGCCCTTCAACCTGTACCAAAACAGTAAACTCTCCGACAGCAGTTCAGAAAGTTGTAGGTTGTAACGAATTGGTCCACTCCAGCAACATCCATGTGTGGATGCCAGAAAAATAGTGGACCAACCAAACAGCATGTCAAAAGCATGTGACAAGTGGCCTTGTGGATTTCCTCTCAAGTCTTCTCTGGAGATCACAGAGCTCTGGATCAGGCAGTTGTAGAGTAGCCTCTGTGCCCAAGAGACTTCTGCCACAAAGTGAGGGCCAAAAGATCACTTCACTGTGAGCCATGCAGTGCATGGAATAGATCCAACTTTGAGTCTGCAGCTGCAAACGTGCTTATTATGGAATAAATACCTACTTCTGAGTAAACATGTCTGGACATGCCTTGCATATGCACAAATAACTCCTGCAAGTGGGCATTCTAATCATATCTATTGGTTGTCTTTGTTTCTGCAGAAATGCTTCTTCCAACTGTAATCCTGTTCTTGACTGCTCTGATGCAAACATCTCTAGGACAGGTATAAGCTTCAAGATGTTTCTGATAGAGCTTACAATTAATTGGCTCCATTCCAGGTATTTACAACACACAAAAATTACCTGGGAGTGTGGGGGAAGCAGGCCTTCACCTGGAATAGTCTGGTGCAAGCTGTTTCCCAATGGTCACACAATGTACTGTATGTGAGACTGCGAACCAGTCCATGCTCAAACTGGACCTTTTTGGGCCAGCAGCAGAGCTATTTCAGGAATGGAAGCTCTGTTTTAAGGGAAATCACTCCCAGCAGAGAGAGCTTTTTGGGTGCATTTGGATATAATCCTTTTCTGTTGTTTGACCACAGCCTGAATTGGTTAAAGGGTTGAATGGGGACAGAACACAAAGAAATGGAATACATGATAGGTTTTGTGCATTCTTTCTTTTAACTAACTTTAATTATACATAAATCATATGAAGAAAAAGAGGGCAAACAGAAATGAAAAAAGACAGAATAAACTCAAACTTTTTGCTCTCAGTGGGAGAGAAAAAAAGGGAAAGAATCCTATTTGCTTCTCAGCATGAGATTTCTTTGTCTGAGATTTCCCCCACCAATAAATCTCATGATGTTTCTTGGATGTTTTACAGTCTTCCCCCAACCCCCTGGAAGAAACACTAATCTGTGCAGAATAATTATAATTCTCACACAAAAATGGTATCTCTCCCACACTAGATTCCCTGAAAAGTACATTGATCTGTAGAAATTGGCAGGGTTTTTCTGTGCAAAAAAAAGAAAAGAAAAGAAAAGAAAAGAAAAGAAAAAGAAAAAGGGAAAAATGGGCTGTGTGTGTGGACAAGACCAGAGGACCATTTTATTGGGAAGCTGGAAAATTTCATTGATGCAAGGGGAAGTCTGGCTAGAAATCTCAGCTTAGTGAGACTTGGAAACTTATCAAGAATGAAAAACATTTTTAAAAAATTATTCACATACCCAAGATCTCATATGAGAAATCTGATTTCAAGTTAGACAATTGGAGCTTCAGTGTAGGTAACACTCAACATGAAGATGTCACCTATCTGTGGCAGCCTAATGGGACACTGTGTGAATACGTTAAATGTTTAGACTCATGATGGAGGAAAGAAGATACATTTTGAAATCAAAAGAAAACTTTGGCATAACCCCTCTTACCTTTAGGAACTGGGCAAACTCACTGAAGAGCACAAAAAGCAAATTGTTGACATGCATAATGCCGCCAGGAGAAAGGTGGACCCACCTGCTCGCAATATGATGAAAATGGTAAGATATACAATTCATTTACCTTCCTACATTTACAGTGGTGCCTCGACTTATGAACGTCCCTACTTACGACCATTTCGAGTTACGACCAGCTCTGGCCACAAAATTTTGCTTCTACTTGTGACCGGAGCTTCCACTTACAAACAGAAAAAGGCAGGAAATTCAAATTGCTAACTGTAGGTGGTGATGAGGCTGCTTCTTTGTAGCTCTTTCACCCCAGCAGTTAGAGAATGTTCTTTGGAGGAGGCTTGGGACTGCCTCTTTCTGAGACCGTGTGTGTTTGCAGGGATGCTTTGGGCTGCCTTATAAGGTAAGGTGCTGTTTTCTACTTTTTAAAAAACTGTTCTGGGTGTTTTTGCAGCCTGGCTTTGAGCTGGGGGGATTATGTTTCTGTGCTGTGATTGATCTTGGGGGTTTGTTTGTTTGCCCCATTTCTGATGGGTCTTGGGGGTTTGGTTGCTTTTTTGGGGTTTCCCCCCATTTCCAATGGGTCTTGGGGGGTTTGTTTGCTTTTGGGTTTTTTTCCTCTATTTCCGATGGGTCTTGGGGGGGTTGTTTGTTTGTTGGCTTCTCCCCCATTTCCAATGGATCTTGGGGGGGTTGGTTGCTTTTGGGGGTTTTCTCCCATTTTTTGATGTCCTGCTTGCTTCCCTTGCTTTTTCCTTTATTTTCTTTGCATTTCCGACCTGCCACCTTTGTTCTCTGTGCATTTCCGATCTGCTCCATTTGTTTTCTGTGCATTTCCAGTCTTGCAGTGATTTCTTTTGTGATTTTTTTCTTCAGCCAGAACAGATTAATTGCATTTCAATGGGAAAAGTTTCCTATGGGAAGCGGTGCTTCGATTTCTGACCATTTCGAGTTACATCCATCTTCTGGTATGGATTGTGGTCGTAAGTCGAGGCACCACTGTATGTGTAAGCCTTTGCTATCTTTCTAATATTGTATTTATTTATTTATTTTATTTATTTATTACATTTATATACTGCCCATCTAGTGGTAAGCCACTACTCTGAGTGGCTCACAATGAATAAAAAAACACACTGCCTCCCCACCCCAACAAAAACAAATATGTAATTCCAGCAAAAGGAAAAACCCCGATGGTGAAAGTTAAAAAAGAGCAAACTTTAAACATAATGGGCATCTAAATCTACCAGCAAATCTACCACAAGGGGACACTATTCTTAAAGACCTGTTTGAAGAGCTCAGTTTCAAAAAGTTTTCTAAAGGTGAGGAGGAAGGGAGCCTGGCATACACCCACAGGCAAAGCATCCGAAAGTGTGGCGACCACCATCAAGAAGACCCAGTTCCTAATAATTATTTTCCTCAGCCTTCCTTGCCACCTGCAACAACAAAGCCTGGGGGAAAATGGTATTATGAGTAGATTCTCTTAGGGAGAGATGCTCTGACAAGTACTGAGGCCTCAAACTACTAAGTCACTATTAACACCTTGAATTTGTCACGGAAGCACCCAGGGAGCCAGTGCAGGCATACCAGGATCAGGAAGATGTTGCCAGATTTCAAAGTTCCGAAAACCAACCTCGCTGCCACATTTTGGGCCTGCTGTAGCCTCTCTATTGCTTTCAAAGGCAGCCATATGTAGAAAGAGCATTTCATATCTTTAGTGAAATGTAATTGAAATATAAAATCCACCATAAAGGACAACTGCCCCTGTCCTCCATTTCTAGCCCTATTCCCTACCTTTCCCTCTCAGGCTTCTACTGGGGTGTGTAGATGTGTGTCTACACATGCCTCAGTGTAGAGATAAAGTCTCATAGCTTTTTCTTGCTGGTACATCTAAAAGGCATAGTCTTGGCCGGATCATGGCCAGGCACTTATATATATTCATTAAAGGAAGAAAATTAAGAGAAAGTCTTTCTAAAGGAGACTTCACCAGATGCAACCTGAGTGGAGTGGATTTCTCTGGGACTAATTAAAGAGTAAGGAAGGACAAATGTGATTTTTATCAAGGTTCTTATTTTCCTACTGGCCAGTTTGGTCCAAAAGAGCTTCACATTTGATTATGGGTCTTTTTTTTCTGCAGAAACATTTCTATGCCTGTTCCTCTACAGATTTCAAAATTTGCACATTTTTCTGTATGCATTTTTCAAGTAGCACGCATCTTTCCTTTGACTCTAGTACATTTGATGATATTTTTTTTTTCAAAAGAAAACCTTGTCCTTGTGCATTTTCCCAACATGTTCCTGTTATTTCACTCCCATCACACATTTGGAAACTGTGGAAGTCTGGCGGTAGATGGTATCTGGAGGGACAGGGCCAGCAAAGCTAACTTCTCACCTATCTCTTGTTAAAATGAACGCTCCACTTCCTCTGGCCAGAGGAGAGAAAGACCGCAGCCTGGGAGAGCACTGCAAAGCAATCCCGTAAATAAAACTTAATGTTAGTTTAGAAAGTGGAGTTGGCGTAGAAAGTAGAGAGTCTGTAATCAATGAAACAAGTTCTCTTAAATCTACATTCAGTCTAAATTCCTTGACCCTAATTTAACTTGGGGCAATGTGTGCCTGCAGTTTGCAGCTATGTACTGTATACATACTTGACAACAGCACACAATGGCTGGTCTAGCAGAAGGGGTTCCCTTCTCTAATCTAGCAGCTGGAATCCCTCACAATGCAGGTCTTTTTGGTTGCAGCCACTGTGTCATGTTTCTTTGGTATCTTACCGGTAGAGTACAGCAGCCTGGTGCTGAGCAGGTGGCTATTGACAAGAAATAATTCTGGAGACTTTCATTAGACAAAAGAAAAAGCAGAATGCTTGTTCTTTTCAAGGAAATACAGTTAGCTGAGGAGAAAAAAGATCTCTTAACCTATTTATACACCGCCTAAAGTAATGTTCTGTGAGCTCTTATCTACTTTTGAGAACCATATGATTTTTACTCTTCCACTAAAGGAACCGGAAGAAACAGGAGATGACTGCAAAAGAGGAAGAATCTTTACAGTATTAATCTATATGCAGATCCAGGAAAAGACAAATGAGGAACACACACCAAGGTTCCCTATTAGCCTGTTGCCCAAGATTGGTTCAGATCGCTTGTTACTGTATTCCAGCAATGGCAAGGAGTCTTTACTCCCTCCACCCACCCCTGTTGCAACTAGTGTAGTTTGTGTGCCCTTCATTGCCATGGCCTACCTAATGTGTGGTTATTCCTTTCTCTCCTGGGGCAAGATGTGGAGTGAAGAAGCTGCCAAGAATGCTGAAAAATGGGCTGCTAAATGTCTGGCGATGCCTAGCCCCCCAGCAGAACGAACTGTGCAAGGTAATTGAAGTGAATGGGTGAAACACTCCTTTCAGGCTTTGTACAACAACATATATTGTAAACTGTACAAAATGCTGGTGTAAAGCAAAATATATGATTAGACCTATGCCATCAAAAGTCAGGCATGTGGTGGTGCTGTGGGCTAAACTGCAGAAGCCTTTGTATGCTGCAGGGTCAGAAGACCAGCAGTTGTAAGATCGAATCCACGTGACGGTGTGAGCTCCCATCGCTTTGTCCCAGCTCCCGCCAACCTAGCAGTTCAAAAGCATGCAAAGGCAAGTACATATGTAGGTATCACCTTGGTGGTAAGGTAAAATGGTGTTCCCTAGTCACGCTGGCTACGTGACAATGGAAACTGTCTTCGGATGGGATGAGCACCTCCCCCTAGAGTTGGACATGACTGAACTAAAAATGTCAAGGGGAACCTTTACCTTTACCTTTATGCCATCAAAAGGAGGAACATTCAGGTGACAGATCAATCCCCTTCCTTCTTTCAAACACAGGCACATTGATGCACCTTTCTTGTGCCTTTATCTCCAGTCCACATAAAAACTACTGCATAAACCAACTAGTCAGCATTTCTTATATAGCATATGACTAATTGTGGGATAGCTAAAATGAAACAGAGGCTTTGATGGTGTCAGCATTTGCAGATAACTGACTTTTAATGCACTTGGTGGCGCTGCGGGTTAAACCGCAGAAGCCTCTGTGCTGCAAGGTCAGAAGACCTGCAGTCGTAAGGTCAAATCCACCTGTCGCCTGCCCCAGTTCCCACCAACCTAGTGGTTCGAAAGCATGCAAAATGCAAAAATGTGAGTAGATAAATAGGTACCACCTCGGTGGGAAGGTAACGGCGTTCCATGTCTAGTCATGTTGGAAGATTGTCTTCAGACAAACGCTAGCTCTATGGGTTGGAAACGGAGATGAGCACCGCCCCCTAGAGTTAGATATGACTGAACAAATTGTCAAGGGGAACCTTTACCTTTACCTTTAATGCAATGATATCTGAAATTACACAGTATTCAGCAGAAGAAACTCCATATGTGGAAGAGAGAAGTCTCATTGTGTTTAATAGGCTTAGTCCTGTATGAACAGAGATGTTGCCTCGATAGGGAATAAAAAACTAGAGTTATCTCTCTTTTTTTGTTCAATTGGGGTCTCAACATCTTGTGTTTACTTTGTGGTTTGATTTTCCTTGCTGGGGAAGGGGGTATAGCAACAACCATAATGGTTTCCTTTAAAACTGAAAGATGCCCCCTCCCCTTTTCTTTAGGAAAAAGCATACTGTGGACATCATTTGTGTTAGGAAAGAAAGTCTGTCTTTGCTGAACTTAAGGCAAGCATTTTTAAAGCTGTTTTGTATCTAGCTCTGATACTACTCATCAAGAGCAACCATTTTATAATAACTTTGGTTGATGGATTTGGACTTCTCAGAGCAAATGGTACTTCAACACAACTGAATCTATCTTTCCTTGTACACCTTCTGGAATCCATTTAGTGGCTAATCTTTGTGGAGATCTTTTTTTTTAAACGTTGAGTATTCAGCCTTGAACAATATAACCATGTTTCTTCTGTTGCAGGAAGAATATGTGGTGAGACTTCACTGGAAACAAATTATTTTCCCACCTGGGAAAAAATAATTGGTCAGTTTTCAAAGGGATCGAGATATTTCAAATATGGCGTTGGGTCAACTGACACCACAAAAAATGTTTATGGCTATACTCAGGTATGAAAAATACCATGCACTTGATAAGTTCCTTCAGTTTTTTTTGAGCAAGGGGGGGGATCTCTTTCTCAGGCCATTTCCAGATATTTGCTGTGCTTGCTTGAAATTGGCGCAACTCTCTGCATTCTTACATGGGCATCTACACAGCATTGCCTCTCCATGCTAACCCAGTGAGAGCTTTGGGAGAAACATAAAGGCCGCTGCACCTCACTATCTTCCATCTACTAGTTAGAAGTGCCCCGTTAACTATTAGAAAACAGTAATTATTTGAAGCAGGGACTCTTTGAAGACCAGATATATTCAGTATTTCACTAAGGCATGTTGCAAAAAATGCAGCAGAGGACTTTGCAACTATAGAAATCTTCAATACAGTGAGGAACTGGGACAGAAAATAAAACATATAAAATCAGTTGGATTTCTTCCACTCCAGCTGGAGCTATGAAACCAAGCATTCTGAGTCTTGAAAACTTAAGAGTGTGTGAAACTATAAAATGAAGACTCAAAACTTCCAATTTATTAATATTTTCATACTTAAAAATACACTTCATAACTCACTGGTTGTTGCAGAATTTTTTCCCCTCAGGAAAGGTCAGGTCCTTAAAACTACTATTTATTGCCTCTTAATCTTTAACTCTTAACAATTAATTTCAGCCCAGAGCCCATGGAAATATCATACGGACATCTCTGGCACGTTCTCAGTCCTATTGAGCTATCTGTATTCATTTGGTGACCCCTGTGGCACAAAGGGTCACACCTGATGTATGATAATATATTTAACAATTTAAGGTAATCTGCAGTGTACCTTGGTACTGCATGTATTGTGATATGTTTTGCTGATGGTTAATATTCATGGTTTCATCTCCATGTCTTACTTAGAGCAACTATGGGTTATAATGTCAAAAAAGGGACTGCTGATTGCTTATCGCTTAGATCTTCCTGATTTATCTCTAAGTCAAAAATGGATAGAATGTCTGTGATCTCAGAACTGAGTGTGTGATTCATGTTAAATCACCATTACAGACAAAATCCTATTGCCTAGCATAGTAAATAACACTAGAATAGGCCCACTGAATCAATATACAGTACTACACTAAGAAACAGGATTTTGGCTTATATCTTCAATATTGTCAAAACCATCTTGTGAGCTAGGTTTTGATTATTGTTTGCTGTATCATATATAGAAACTTTAAAAGGATTTCTAGAAATTCATACTAAGTATTTCCAGCAAGAATAAGGAAAGGCTTCATTTTCCAGCTTCCTGGACCACTCTAGCTCTGTCCAGCCAAGCTGAAAGGGACTCCTGGTTTCTTAAAAATAAAGTGTGTGGGGGTGTGTGGGTGTGAGGCCTCCAGGTCCTGGAAAAATAGTTTCAGGACCTTCAAAAATAGATTTGGGGGCAACATGGAGTGAATCCCATCCCCTTGAATTGTAGTTGTGATTTGTGGATGAAAAGGCAAGTAGCAGAAGCAAAGAGGAGAGGTGAGGAAGACTCAGAACGCCTAAGGCATAGCCCCGTTGTTCTGATACTAACTCATGTGAAGCATTAGCTAAGGGTTACCAGTCTTTAAGTCTTAGAGTGAAATAACCCTTTACATTCTTATACAAATATATGGAAGTTGAGTCATTGCAACTGGAGTTCTTTTTTCTTAGGTTGAAACATTTTGCTACTCATCCAAGTAGCTTTTTTTAGTCTGAGGAGAGTTGGTGGGAGACCCCTGTGTCCAAGTCTCCCCAGACTGAAGAAGCTACTTGGATGAGTAGCAAAACATTTCAACCTAAGAAAGAAGTCCAGTTGCCATGACTCAACTTCCAGATAACCTCATGAGGATGACTGAGAATCTTCACAGATATATTCTTATACAAAGTGAAACAGAATGAGGAGCATGTAACTCATTCTAGATAGCATCCTGTTGCATAGCTCACCCTGTGCATTGGGAATGAAATCTTTGCCAATGGGAGATTGGTAATAAACTAAAAAGTCCCTGCTTTGATTTGGGTGTGTAACTTCATCTCATTGCATGTGACTTCATCTCATTGTGCACGAGTTGCACACACTCTGAAATCAAAACAGAGATTTTTAAATTATTGACAATCATTCATGCTGCACAGACTGAGGTAAATAGCATTTTCATCTTTGGATTTAGATTCATAAGAATCTTGTAACGATATAACTCTTTTCATCATCTCTATGTCTCAGAGAGAGAATAATAGCTTTCTGTCTAGCTGGTGCCCTTCACACATTATGCATGGAATAGACTGAGTGCAGGCTTGGGGACTTGCAGGTAGGAATTGATAAATCCCCACTGCTTGGGGCTTTCTCCATTATTCTTCAACCTGTGAGATACTTCACATGCTGTATTTTTAGAGATGCACTTAGCATGTTTTGGCGGGATGCAGAAAACCCACAATGTAACAAGCTCATATATCCTACAGGTTCATGCGCAAAGAAGACAGAAAGCTATTTTATTTATTTAAAATATTTTTACCCCATCTTTCTCCTTGAAAAGGAACCAAGGTGGCATCGCTAAAAGACAATATTTAACAATAAAAAAGAATTGCAAAAATAAAACAATAAAACAATCAAAGACAATCCTTACATCATTAAAATACAATATTTAAAACTGAAAAACAGTGAGTATACAGTTATTAAAAATAACTAAACAAATATTGTATTAAAGATGGTAAATAAAACCAGGACTAAAAACACTTTTAAAAGCAAGAAGGCACGACAATCCATTTAAAAACCCCTTTCAGACAGCCAGTCACTAATGGAAACATACAACAAAGAAAGGGCCAGCCTAGTCTCCCATGGGAGGAAGTTGGGAGCAGCAACAGAGAAGATGCTCTTCATGTGCCTGTAAAGGTGGTGGGACAGAGAGAAAGGCCTCCCCTGAGGATCTTAGAGTGGTCTTATAGGCCAGATGGGCGGGGTATAAAAATGAA